TAATGACACATTGTGTTATATTTATTGGGCTTTGACAAGTGATGAACTATTTTCGTGACCTACAATTACATCACTGGGTTCGAATACGCTTACTGGATTTTTGTGTAAAGTTGGATATCTTAAAGTATCAACACAACGAAACAACCCAACCCAAGGATTTTTCTTGCCCTTGATTGAGTCAGATTAAACAACACTTTGAACGATATTTCAGTGAGTGAGTGATATAGTTTAGCTTTACGTTCCACTCTGTAATATTCCAGCTAAATGACAGCGGCCTGTAAATAATCGAGTCTGGACCAGAGAAGCCAGTGACCAACAGCATGAGCATAGATCTACGCATTTGGGATACGATGACATGTGTCAACAAAGTCAGCGAACCTGACCACCCGATCCCGTTAGTCGCCTCTTACGACAAGCATGGATTACTGAAGATCAATTCTAACCGGATCTTCACGGGTCGATGTTTCAGTTGTATCACAATATGCCATCGTAATGAAGAGGGAAAGCCAAAACACTGTACATATTTTAATGAGATTTAAATCCAGGAGCACGAACATGGTCCCCTTTATTGGAGAAGCATTCCGAATTGTCGCTTTCTTCACCCCTGCCTGCCACAGTCACACAACACGCATCGACATGTGTCCTCTTGCCACATTTTACTGCTGTACAATGTGCTGAAATATCAGACGGCTATATCATGCATTATATTATGCCAAAGCTGTGCCACACGCTTCAGGTCAACGAATTTGATGCAAACATACTAAACCGTACATGTTTAGACTGAGACACCTCGTATTAACCAGATTATTCGATATTGTATGGTGGCTGATTAGGGCCATTGCTTTCTCGCCTTAAACTTCGGAGGCGAGAAAGCGAGAAAGCGATATCACGAGACGAGAAAGCGATAACACGAGACGAGAAAGCGATAGCACGAGACGAGAAAGCGATACAGCCACCATAGTATTGAGGGCACATTTTGTCATGCAGGTAAAACATTAAGTTTAAGGCAAAACAGTGTGTAAACATTTTGATCTGAGATGCAAACGTCGACCTGTCTCATTAACCAACTCTATTATTTTGGATTTATTGAAGAATTTATGTCCTTTTCAGTCACCTTGGTTCCATTAAATTTTCACGTGAGTTTGGATGAGTGAGTATGGTTTTACTCCTGATTTAGTAATATTCCAGCAACATAACGGTATGGACATAAAAAAATGGGCATCACTCATTGCACCCAAGTGGGTCATCGACCTGCGTCTTCGGCGTGATGAGCGAACGCTACATCTGCTGTGCTACCCCAGCGCTTCCTTAATTCTTACATGAAATAATGGAAGGCAACATGAATATTTACTCGCCCTCACGATCAGTGGGTGGAAGTTAGTTATACCAACACTGCTTCGGCGAGTGTGCCAATTCACCGCCATTTTCGTTTGTGTCCGATGCACCTAAATTAACTCGTAATTATACTGAACATTATTGAAATACCTTTCTTACATTCACGCATTTAAGCAACATCAAATATAACAACAAAAAGTATGATAACGCAAAGAAGTCGATCATTTACAACAAAAATAAAAGGAACTTCTTTGCAGGGTCAGACACGAATCGCTTGCCTGTTATGGAAGTTGCTATCAGAAGGGCAAGACAATACAAGAAGTTCAATAAACAGTGAATATAAAAAACAACAACAATGGCTTAACTATTCATGTTAGCATGTATGTTGATATGAAGTTCTGCGTATATGTCAATGATAATATTAACAATAACAAATGGTTGCATTCCTTCCTCTAATTAGCATAGTTATAACAATTTCCCATTTGTAAATCGTGAAATTAATAACATTACCAAATACTGATTGACGGATCACAGGGCATTATTTACTTCTCTCCATTTTCCTTGACATAACTGCACACAGATCAAATTAAAAAATACAAAGAATGTATTGAAAAATGTTAGCATTAAAATAAAAAATGTTGAATACAACAACATATGCCTCATACATATGATGCAATAAATTTTTTAGAAAATACAAGGCTGGAAATTATACATATATTCACTAAAATTAGAAACTTGACACCTACATTATTTGTAATAACTGTAGGGGTAGTTCTGTTCAGTTTCTGGTTGTGCCATATGCACGACAATTATATGTTTGGACATTCTCTTGGCAAAAGACGTGAAAACATTGTTCAAAAACGTGAAAAAACGTGAACAATCCACAACAAGTGTGTGTGTTTATGCGTGTGACTGTCTTTGTGTGTTACATTTCAAATTGTAATGAGTGAGTGAGTGAGTTTAGATTTCCGCGGATTTTAGCAATATTCCAGCAATATCGCGGCGGTGGACACATATTTTACCCATGAAGGTAAACGAACCCGGGTCTTCTGCGTGACGAGCAAACGCTTTAACCACTAGGCTATCCTACCGACCCCAACTTGTAATGAAACTGCTAGGGATGCTTTTATAGCAGTTAATATTTGAAACAATCAGTTCAGTCGTATCTCTGTGGTTACAGTTCAACCAGTCTGTCCTGGAGCATAACAGACCGCCTCCGTGGTGTAGTGGTTAGAGCGTCCGCCCGGAGAGCGGAAGGTCGCGGGTTCGATTCTCGACCACGTCATACCAAAAGACGTAAAAAATATGGTACTTGTTGGTCCCTGCCTGGCGCTCGGCATTACTGGGTACAACAAGGACTGGTCGGCTCGGAGTCAGTATAATGTGTCTGAGTAGGGTATTCATGCTTAACTGCGGCATGGTATCTCAGTGGGCTAGCTCTATAAAACCACCTTAAGTCTGGGTTGGTACAAACAGCCACGCATACACAGGCATGCGCGAAGTCATGTGAGCGAAATATTCTTAAGTACGACGTTAAACCACATTTCACCTCACCTGGAGCATAACATCATAAGAAGAAGCAAAACCAATCCATACGTATTAGTGACATTAAAGGACTCTTTTAGCCATCTAAACTGCAAACCTGTTGGTAAACCCGCGGAATGGATATACCGGACGACATCGATGAATTCTTTGACTTGCAGCTGGATGGTAGTTTCTTGTGTTTTCACTCATAATGGTGGCGTTCATATTGGTACATGTATACTGAATGTAACCGAGGAAACAACATAATTAGTGAGTGAGTATGGTTTTACGCCGCTTTTAGCAATATTCCAGCAATATCACGGCGGGGGACACCAGAAATGGGCTTCACACATTGTACCCATGTGGGGAATCGAACCCGGGTCTTCGGCGTGACGAGTCAACGCTTTAACCACTAGGCTACCCCACCGCCCCAAACAACATACTTAACATGCTTGACTGGGCAGTAAGCTGATGAAGATTGTGAGTTGACAAAAGGGAAAGGAGTAGAAGCCAGAGATGTACAAATAATAGGGCTGATTTAAAAGGAGGAGATGTTTATACAACAGATTGGGCTTGGTTCAGTGCATCATAAGTGGATTGATATATTATGCGGCATGTATTATCATGTTAGGAAATAACTAATTAATGACCTGCTGAGCATACTGATCATATGAGTCGTGTCGTGTCTTGTATATAATAATAGATAAAATTAACAAACGTGGGTCTTGTGTTTAAGAGTGACATTGAGTTCATAAATGCTGAAGACCAAATACCGTCTTGGAACAGGAAATACACTGAAAAGTAACCTTCGCGTAACTGAAAGCATTAACCGTTAATGAAGTGAGTGAGATTAATTTAAGTCACATCGGCAGTATTTCAGCCACATTGTGACTTGATCAAGTTTTATCATTTCAAACTAAAACCTTGAAAATGAAAAGATCAACATTCTTTATTCTCAGAGATAAAAAAGTTCTACTTTCCCATCTTTGTGCATGAAAAATAATCATTTATAACTCTCATAGCATAAAAAAACATGATACAAGTGCAACATGTAAACGATACATAAACATATTTAAACCGATATTTTCAAAACTAAATATCAATACAGTTTTGAATGTATCGATAATTGTATCGTCTTAGAAAAAGTATCGATGCATCGATGTATCGATGTATCGTGGCATCCCTATCATTATAGGGGCGGTGGGGTAGCCTAGTGGTTAAAGCGTTCGCTCGTCACGCCGAAGGCCCGGGTTCGATTCCCCACAAGGGGTACAATGTGTGAAGCCCATTTCTGGTGTCCCCCGCCGTGATATTGCTGGAATATTGCTAAAAGCGGCGTAAAATCCCAATTCACTCAACTCACTCACTCCCTACCATTTTAACGCCACTTTGCACAATGTTCCATTCATTTTTATGGGACCTTAGTGTGCGGGTATGGTGCCGACAAGCCTAGAAATGGATATTCGGGCAAATCGAGATTCGAACCCATGAACATGGATGTCGAAGAGAGACCACTCAGCTCAGCGAATTGGGGAGCTTGAAACGACTGCAGGCCGACCTGGGCCCACTTGCACAAAGCGATCTTAGCGCTACAATGATCGTAACTCCCATACTCTAACATAGACTAAGAATACGGAGAAAACGGACCTCAGCGAAAACGGACCCCCAAAAATTCGAGAAAACGGCCACCGCGCTGGAGAGAAAGAACCTATAGAAAACGGTCTGTGCTTAGAGAAAACGGCCAACATAGTTGCACCAAGATTAAAGGATATTATATGATTATACATCCTAAATAATAGAGATTTACTTCATTGCGGATAAGCTTTTAAAAACTGGTTGTTGCGATAGTTATGATGAACAAACCAATTTGATTGACTGTAGATTTTACAGGTAAAATTAGTTGATACGGTAGTGTTTATATTGACGAGCGGATTAGTAGTACTAATTCCATCTTTGGTTATTGTAGTTCTGCCAGTGTCCCTAGTATGGTGATCTACCTTCAGTTGTTGGTAATCTATATCCTGTGTTTATATTGTATTGTCATCTATAGTTAAAATGTTTAAATCTAATTTCTAGTTTTAAATTTATATATGTGATAAACTGGTTGTTTTACTGTCGTTCGATGGCAGTTGTTCATAATTAACACAACGATAATTCGCATCGGAATACAGGAGAGGTTGATGCATACTAAGCATCACCCGACCGGATCGATATTATCAGTTTACTTAGCGTTTACCAGATGTGTCCATGCGTGTTTCCTACAAAGTGCCATTACATCCAGTTTGCCTCAGTCACAACCTACAGACCTTTGAAGAGTTCGGGAGCCACAGCCGTCACACAGTTTCCAGCTAAGTAAGTTTATTCACTTTTAGCTCAGTAAGTGAATGAGTGAGTTTAGTTTTACGCAGCACTCAGCAATATTCCAGCTATATGGCGGCGGGTCTGTAAATAATCGAGTCTGGACCAGACAATCCAGTGATCAACATCATGATCATAGATCTAATGCAATTGGGATACGACCAAGTCACCAAACCTGACCACCTGATCCTGTCGGTCGCCTGTTACGACGACTAACGAGGCCGGGCGAGAGTTCGCTGACTATGAGGATGGAGACAGATGTTGTATATACCTCTGTTTGATCGAATTTCGATCAAAAAGTTTCGGCACGCCCCTGAAACTTTTGATCGAAATTCGATCAAACAGAGGTATATACAACAGACAGATGTTGGGGGTGAGGGTTGTCTTGTGCTCTTAGGTGGACAGGTTCCCTGACTAAGAGGATGGAGACAGAAGATGCATGTGTGTGTGTGTATAAAGTAAGTAAACTAAATCTTCAGTCTTAGATGTTTCAATAATATGCAGTTAAATCTTATATACCGAGTCTAGAAGTAAAGCATTAGTATGTTTGTAATTAGTATGTAAGCGATGCTTCGTAGTGATAGTGAGTGAGTGAGTGAGTTTAGTTTTACGCCGCACTCAGCGAGCCTGATGCCCCGATCCCGTTAGTCGCCTCTTACGACAAGCATGGGTTACTGAAGATCAATATTCTTACCCGGACCTTCACGGGTATCGTAGTGATAGAGTTTGGCTTCAACCTTTTCACTAAACAGTAGCGAGAGGTTTGAGTGTACGTAGAGACAATGTACAACAATGAGTGACTGAGTTATTAGATTTACGCCGCTTTTAGCAATATTCCAGCAATATCATGATTAGGGGAAACCAGAAATGGGTTTCACACACTGTACCCATGTTGGGAATCGAACCCGCGTGTTAACGTTGGCGTGACCAGTGAACGCGTTAACCAGAAGGCTACCCGACAACAATGTAATCTTGTCAAGCTGTCATAAAGACTATAAAGTTACTTCATCATACATTATCCGTACAAGGCTGTAGTATGTGGGGTAAAGATGTCGAAGATGATTTCCTGCACAATTTCTGTATTGACAGTTTGCTACTTCTCGTTCTGTCAACGTTTTAAATTGTACTGGGTCAGTAACTGGGTCATTACTCCAATACTCCATTCCGTCCCACGCTGGTCTACTCCCATTTGTGAGAACTCCCAATTGTGAGACTCCCAGTTATGAGACAGTGGAGTAGGTAATTACCAAAGAAAACACACCATACTCCCCTGCCTGATAGAATGGATTAACCCTAGCTAATTACTGATTTGCTATGTAACTGAATCTTGTGGAAGTCTTAATGAAACTTTATAAGATAAATTGATTAACATACTCAGGTAAATGTCTTTAAAAATTGAACACTTTGGGTAGGTAACTTCGTGATCATTTGAAAGAGAAATTAATTTACTTACTCAGATTTACTCCGTCTCGGAAACTACAAGATATAGACTCTGAAATACAAGGAACTTACAGTCGAACTGCCTCTTATGCCAAATCCTTTTTACCCGACACTACCCGTTATAACCTGGATACCATTTTGAAAGGAAAGAAAGAATTTACTCCTTGTGTAAACCAGAAAGTAGTTGAATCCGTCCACGATTATATCATCAAGACACAACGCTTCAAATTTTCTCAGGAAAACACTTAAATTAACTCAACAACCTTCTCCTGATTGATTTATATTTATATATATGACTTTCAAACTTCATAATAGTCAATACAAATGTGTTATCATAATTACATATTCTTCTGAATAAATATAATATTTCATGAACTATTTCTTCTGTGTAAATAGAATCTCTGATAATCTATTTCATTAATCTACTCATCAATGACTCCTGTGGGTACTCTTCAACAACTGGGCTGATCCCACTTTCATTGTAGGGATGTGGAAGCACCACCTATGTGCACTGAACCATTAATTAATGTGTCTCACAACTGGGAGTTCTCACAAATGGGAGGACACCCCCACACTCCATCTTGTATGATTGGCGCAATTGTGCTAATTAGTTATCCTTACACTCACTGGTAATCATATACATCATGCCTATATCTTGCTTGTATAATGTATACTTATGCTTGTTTTACATCTAAATAATACGATTACATATTTACTCATATGTCAAAAATGCTGTTTCTTGTTGTTTACAAAGTATGTCCATTGAAACTTTACATAAATGTATTGACGTTTACAAAGTATGTCCTGCTGCTTCTTGTTGTTTACAAAGTATGTCCATGCTGCTTCTTGTTGTTTACAAAGTATGTCCAGGCTGCTTCTTGTTGTTTACAAAGTATGTCCATGCTGTTTCTTGTTGTTTACAAAGTATGTCCATGCTTTCTTGTTGTTTACAAAGTATGTCCATGCTGCTTCTTGTTGTTTACAAAGTATGTCCAGGCTGTTTCTTGTTGTTTATAAAGTATGTCCATGCTGCTTCTTGTTGTTTACAAAGTTTGTCCAGGCTGCTTCTTGTTGTTTACAAAGTATGTCAAGGCTGCTTCTTGTTGTTTACAATGTATGCCCATGCTGTTTCTTGTTGTTTACAAAGTATGTCCAGGCTGCTTATTGTTTACAAAGTATGTCCAGGCTGCTTCTTGTTGTTTACAAAGTATGTCCATGCTGCTTCTTGTTGTTTACAAAGTATGTCCATGCTGTTTCTTGTTGTTTACAAAGTATGTCCATGCTGTTTCTTGTTGTTTACAAAGTATGTCCATGCTGTTTCTTGTTGTTTACAAAGTATGTCCATGCTGCTTCTTGTTGTTTACAAAGTATGTCCATGCTGTTTCTTGTTGTTTACAAAGTATGTCCATGCTGCTTCTTGTTGTTTACAAAGTATGTCCATGCTGCTTCTTGTTGTTTACAAAGTATGTCAATGCTGCTTCTTGTTGTTTACAAAGTATGTCCAGGCTGCTTCTTGTTGTTTACAAAGTATGTCCAGGCTGCTTCTTGTTGAATGAGGGTTAGATATAGGTTTGTAAAGAAAGCAAACATTTGTTTCGTGGTTCATGATATTAATAAGTATTTTATGATTTCCTGCTGTACAACGGCACCTTTGCACTCCAGTCTCCAGTTTTACCTCTGATTAGTAACTATTCCTTTATCAACAAGTTACCAAAGTGATGAAACTGGTCTGACAGACGAAGAGGATTTGGTTGGTTTGTAGTTTAACGCTGGACTCAGCAATATTCCATCTATATGGCGGCGGTCTGTAAATAATAGTGTTCGGACCGGACAATCCAGTGATCAACATAATGGGCATCTATCTGAGCAATTAGGATACGATCACATGTGTCAACCAAGTCAGCGAGCCTGACCACCCGATGCCGTAAGTCGCTTCTTACGACAAGCATGGGTTGCTGAAGACCAATTTTAACACGGATCTTTAAAGGTTGGAATTATGACAACTGGTAGTCTAAATCACGCATTTTGTATACCCCTATAGGCCTAGCTTCTGATAAAGTACCAGCGGTACCAGCTTTTATTGCCCTTAAGATAAATTTGTCGAATTTTGTTTGGTCAATAGCCAAAGCATTCGAAACCATGCAGTATGATTTGCCAGGGTGTATGAACCGTACACGACAAAGGTTGTACAAATTACCTTGAGCTTAGATAGAATGTGATAGTCTCGCAACACTGCCGTGCGTATGCGCGTGTATAGTTGCTATGCAACCAATTGTTCTTCGGCAACAATGGCGTCCTTTTGTGGCAGCGATAGTGAGGATGACGCTCTTGAATTAGCGGTAGTCGGCATGCTTGCCAGTTTACAACCTGAAAAGCCTAAGAGATCTTGTTGGGTACGCCCCTGGATTGCCAGAAGAGGAGAGGTGGGAGCTTATAACTCATTAATACGAGAACTTGAGCTGGAAGACCCTAATAGTTTTCATAATTGTCACCGAATGGACCGGACAAATTTTGATTTCTTGTTGGAACGTGTGGCTCCTCGTATAGCGAAGAATGACACCCCGATGCGCAACGCCCTCCCTGCCGGCGAGAAGTTGGCTATAACTCTCAGATATTTGGCCTCAGGTGTGTATCTCACATAATGTATATATACAGCGTCTTCATGAATTCTAAATTATCAGCTGTTATTTGTTTACACATGTGGCAAGATACTAAAAATAGTGTCACCAACTCTTCGCTTCACATTCCATAGTTAACTGGATGTGATATAACCGAGTAAGGAGCTTTATGAGGCTCCCGATAGGTGCCAATGTCATTCGACCTACCTCAGCAATACCCTTAGACTACAAAGAATTATATCTACAAATGTCCTCAAATAGCTATCAATATACATTAAATTTTTGCAAACAATTATTTGAATGGTTTTGGTGCAGAAAGGAATGAGAAAATAAAACATTAGTGGGAAAATAAAACAATTGAGGAATCAACTTAAGAATGCTTACAAATTACAAAATTAATTCATAATTATCATGTTCATATAATATTTTGATGCATTTGTTTTTTGTTTCATTTCCACCAAAATAGGAGACAGTTACAAGTCTATGGAATTCCTCTACAGAGTTCCAAAGAACACCATCAGCAAGCTAGTTCCTGAAGTTTGCAAGGCCATATACAACACATCAAAGGAAGATTACATGAAGGTCAGTAGATTACTTCAATTGGAAATGCTACAATTAGTTTCCTTTATGAAAGATGTCTGACAGTTTGTCAACTTTAATGAAAAACATGACAATGGAGAAGATAGAAATTGGGTAATGAATTTTTTATTAGTTAAAGATATGTCGACAAAACAATGATACATCAATGATTATTAACAATAATTAAAAGAAGGAAATATAATAACAAATAAAAAGTATTGTCGTTGCCTCATTTATTTATATATATTATAATTATAAACAACTGTAATATAGTTCAACATAATAATTATATGAATTAAAAAATAAGTCATTCAAAACACAGGAAATATATTGGGGAACAGAACTTTATTACTTTCA